CGCGTGGGTGCGGGGCACGGAGCAGGGATGCTCATCAGGGGACGGGGGGGACCGGAGCCTCTCTGGGGCCAGCCCAAAGTGCTCCCCGTCTGCTGCAGGGTGTAAAGCAGCCCTGAAGAGACTAGAAGAAGGCTAGAAGACACCTGCCTCCACCCCAAAGCGTGGCCAGAGGGTTTCTTGCTGCGCTGTGTTAGAGGTGTGACCGGTGGAGGGGTCACATCGGCAGCGGCAGCTCTGAGGACCCTTTATCTGTGGGGCTGGGATAGGCAGCAGAAAACTGCCCCACAGAGAAGTGGCAGGGCCCCGGGACACGAGGTTTCCATGTGCTCAGATGCGTGTGTTGTTGGGGATGGTTCTTGTTCTGGGTTTTCTCTCTCTCTCCCACCACCATCTTTCTCAGTGGTGTCCTACAGGTTTTCCTGGTCTCTCTCCTATTCACACGTGGTGTCTTATTTTGCCCTGGGCTGTAGCTAAAACTCAGGATGGTGTGGCCTTAGAGATCCAGCCCCTGAAAAGCCAGGAAGGGGTGGAAAATGAGGAGAAGGAGAAGAAGAAGGTGAAGGTACCCAAGAAGGAGAAGTCCGTGCTGCAAGGGAAGCTCACGCGCCTGGCAGTCCAGATCGGGAAGGCGGGTGAGTGGCAGTGGCCCGACACGAGCTGTCACCCCAGAGCTCTTTCTGGAAGTGTCACGGGGCGAAGGGGCTGTCCCCTTCCTCTGTGTCGCCTCACCTGCCGCTCCGGCTCTTCTTCCCCCAGGGCTGATCATGTCAGCCATTACGGTCATCATCTTGGTGCTGTACTTTGTGATCGACACGTTTGGGGTGCAGGGGCGGCCCTGGCTGGCGGAGTGCACCCCCATTTACATCCAGTACTTCGTCAAGTTCTTCATCATCGGTGTCACTGTGTTGGTGGTGGCTGTGCCTGAAGGGCTCCCGCTGGCAGTCACCATCTCCCTGGCCTACTCCGTGAAGGTGAGACCACGATGCAGCGGGGTTGCTCGGGGCGTGATGGGGAAATTCAGGCTTTTGGCCCTAACTTGCCATCTAACTTGGTCGTGGTTCCTGTTGCAGAAAATGATGAAGGACAACAACCTCGTGAGACACTTGGATGCATGCGAGACCATGGGCAACGCCACCGCCATCTGCTCGGACAAGACTGGCACGCTCACCATGAACCGCATGACCGTGGTGCAGGCCTACGTGGGGGACACCCACTACCGGCAGATCCCCGACCCTGAAGCCATCCTGCCCAAGATCCTGGACCTCATAGTTAATGGTGTCGCCATCAACTCCGCCTACACATCCAAGATCCTGGTGAGTTGGAGAACCACAACCTCGTGCCCTCTGGCCTTCTCACCGTTGGCCATCCCTGCAGCTCCCAACCTTCCGTACCCAGGTTTGGCATTGCTTTTCCTTTCCTTTTTCCACTCCAGCCACCTGAGAAGGAAGGGGGGCTGCCCCGGCAAGTGGGGAACAAGACCGAGTGCGCCCTGCTGGGTTTCGTGCTGGACCTGAAGCAGGATTACCAGGCTGTGCGGAACGAGGTGCCCGAAGAGAAGCTTTACAAGGTCTACACCTTCAACTCGGTGCGCAAGTCCATGAGCACGGTGCTGAAGAACGGCAACGGCGGCTTCCGCATGTACAGCAAGGGAGCCTCCGAGATCATCCTCCGCAAGTAACCGTCCTCCCTCGCTACGCTAGTCCTCTCGCCGTCCCACGGGCTTTAGGCTCTCAGTGCACCATGGAGCTGTTTTGGGGGGCTGTGGGGCAAAGGGTGCCCAGCTGCTGTTGAGTGGGGAGGTGACTACTGAGAGGTGCTGCGAAGCAAAGTGTTTAACTCTGTGGGTAAGGGGGATGCCCCCATTTTGGAGGTGGGGAACCCGGGTGACAAGGGCAGCAGATTGCTGAGCCGGCAGTGCGTGCCACCGCCGGTCTCCCTCACCCTCCATCCCGGTCCTGCGTTAGGTGCACCAGGATCCTGGACAAGAACGGTGACCCCCGCATGTTCAAAGTGAAGGACCGGGATGAGATGGTGAAGAAGGTGATAGAGCCCATGGCTTGCCATGGGCTGCGGACCATCTGCCTGGCCTTCCGTGACTTCCCTGCTGACGCCGAGCCGGACTGGGACAGCGAGAACGAGATCCTGTCTGACCTGACCTGTATTGCTGTGGTTGGGATAGAGGACCCTGTGCGGCCAGAGGTACTGAAGCCCAGCTCTGCCCGGGCTGTCCTCCACCCCAGCCCCGTTCCTGGGCCAGGAGCCCCTTTCCCTGCTGCTCAGGACCATGAGCCCCTTATGAAAGTGCCCCACACTAACCATGTGTAGTGTGGGCTTTCCTGCTGCTGGCATTTGTCTCCCATACCTGGACAGGAGGACCTGGTGGCAGGCCATTTCCACCCAAACGTTCCCCCCGGGTGCTCCCAGGGGTCTGTGCACAAGCCAGACTGGTTCCACATGCAGCTGAAAGGTGCATGGAGACACCACGCAGGGGTGACAGAGGGGTGTGGGAGAGGGACAGGGCTGGTGTAGCTGGTTCCTTCCTCACAGCTTGCTGCCCCCCTCTGCCTCTGCCGCAGGGATGACGGGCAGGCAGCTGGGCTAATGCAATAAGCCCTCCCATACCTGCCTCTTGATTACATTTTGGAGCTTGCCCCTGCACTCCTGCCTTGCTTGCATCTTTCCTGATTAGATGTTCAAGTATCTGGGTCTGGGAATTGCATTACAGATGCCCCGTCTGCACCGGCTCTGGAGGCTGTTGATTCAATTTGATAATTTCTCACTAATATCCTCTTTCCCCCACCGCTCCGTAATAGATAAAGCCATTAGTGCAGCAGCGTGCCGCTGGAGCGGTGCGGGGGGGTCAGATGAAATGCCCCCGTTGTGATGGATCACCGGGCTGTGCCTTGGCGCCGCGGCGTGCCGGGGCGGAGGCGGTGAGGTTACCTTCCCCTTGGGACACGGGCTGGAAGATCTCGCGCTGTCTGTGCTGGAGGAGCTGCTCCGGACACGCACGCGAGTCTGGCTGGATGCGTGGCGAGGGCGGGAGGCTGCTCGCTGCCGCGGCTGGATGCTCCCGCACCACAGGGGCAGGCGTCGCCTCCGGTCCCTGGTGGCTCCCCCCGGACCCAGGGACAAACGGCTGAGCTGGTTCTTGGGGAGCAGTTTTTGTTCAGCATCTCATCCCCAGTGTGAGCTGATGGATGGATGCAGGTTTCTGACCCCACCGGGGCCCATTCCAGACCCCTTTAGGGGAGGGTGGGAGAGGAGCCGCCTGGCTCCCGGGATACCCGCTGCCAAACCTGAGCACCCTGCCCTGCCCGTCTGCTCCAACTCTGTCCTTGTCCCCCAGGTGCCGGACGCCATCCTGAAGTGCCAGCGTGCGGGAATCACCGTCCGGATGGTGACGGGGGACAACATCAACACCGCCCGCGCCATCGCCACCAAGTGTGGCATCCTGCTGCCCGGGGAGGACTTCTTGTGCCTGGAGGGGAAGGAGTTCAACCGGCTCATCCGCAACGAGAAGGGAGAGGTAGGAGATCAGCCCTGGGTCCTGCCCCACAGCGGGTGCGGGTGGCCTCTCCGACAGCCCCAGCAGCGGAAGGCGCTGAATCCCGCTGGGCTTTCCTCCTCTCCTTGGGTCAATGCAGCTGCTGCCTCCGCTTGCTGGGATCCTCAGCCAGCGCAGCCCCGGGGGTGTCAGGGTGCTTGGAGGTGAAGGCACTGTCCTGGTTGGGATTTGCTTTCCGGTGGGGCAGAAGGTTTCGGGGAGGGGATCCCTGCCCTTTCTCACGTGTGCCCTGTCCTGCAGGTGGAACAGGAGCAGCTGGATAAGATCTGGCCCAAGCTGCGCGTGCTGGCCCGCTCCTCCCCGACAGATAAGCACACGCTGGTGAAAGGTGAGCGCCTGCCAGCTCCCCCAACGGCTGCCTCTCACCGAAGTGTCTCATTCTGCTCTGCCCAGGCACTTTTTCAGCCTAACTTGTGCTGGGAGCCTGCCCTCAGAGCTTATTTTCTCTGAACTGCTTGTCCCCTTTTCAGGAATTATTGACAGCACCGTTGGTGATCAGAGGCAGGTGGTGGCCGTGACCGGGGATGGGACCAACGATGGCCCAGCTTTGAAGAAAGCCGACGTTGGGTTTGCCATGGTATGGAAGGGCAGTGGGTTTTCCCCAGGGGTGGCCTTTGCTCTCTGGGGTGAGAAACTAATTGCACACTTGATTATTCTCAACACTTAAATTAATTCTGGACTGGTGAAACTCTCCTCCACATCTGGAGGATGGCTTAAAAAGACAAAAGAAATCTTCTTTGGAGGTTCGATTTAATTCTCATGAACTTTATAGGACTGTTAGCAAAAGATTGATGGGAATCCTCTGGTAGCCTGGCTTAGGGCTGGGCTCCTCTGACCCGTCTGGAGGGACTGTGTCAAGCTGAAGGTGACACGGTGCTCGCAGAGCACCCAGAGCAGCGACCTGCCCGTGCCTGGTTTCTGAGCTGTGGGGTCCGGGAGAGCCGTGGGAACCCAGTAACTGGGCGTGACTTGGTTTATCCCGCAGTTCTTCACCCAGGCTCGTAATGGGCAGCCCGGGCTATGAGCACGATGCTGGCACTGACTTGGGGAGCTTCTTTGTGGAGAAGAACGCTTACCTCCTGGTTTGTTGCCAAAAGAAGCAAGAAAATCTGTCTGTTTTAACAGGTTTCCTGTGAATTGTTTAAGTTTAGGTACGTGAGCAGGAGCCAGCTGCTGAGTGGAGCCTTATGTGGGCCCATGTAGGGAGCTTTGAGCAAATGAGAGTATTTAATTGATGTTAAATATCCAAGTGCAATTCTGGAGCCTTTAGGATGACGGGCAGGAGGTAGCCTGTCTTCTCTCAGGGACCGTACGGTGGGGCTCTGCCCCCATGTGCCGGATCAGACCCTGGCCGGGCGCTGGGCTTTGCTGGGGGCCAGGCACCGGGGCCGCGCTGCCCTTGGATCTCCAGAGAGTGGGAATCCAGCGGCCCCGGGGATAGATCTGTCCACTGACGCCGACGCTCATGCCCTGCCACAGCCGGGGAGTTCCCGTCTGAGACGGGTCTTGCAAATCTCAAGAGAACTTCTCCTGGAAAGCACCAGGGAACCAGCTTGTTACGGGCATCGCTTCGGTGCACTGAATTACTGCAAAGCGAGCGCCTCTGTGTGCCGGCGGTGAGAAACGCAGCGAGCCCAGCTCCCGCAGAGCAAACTGTCTCCTTCTGAGATGCTGCAGGTGCCTTTTGGGAGGCTGTGGGCAGCCCTGCTTGCTGGGGTACTGGGTACGGGAAGGTACTGGGGCTTTGGGCTGCTGAGCCCTCTCTCATTTGGGGGTCCCAACCCTCGCTCGCAGCAGAGATGCCCAGCCAGGGATCCCCGTGTTCGCTGCCGTAAGGAGAAAGCTACACTTACAAGCTATTTTCCAGCTCTGCTGCGCTGTGGCCCCTGTCCGGGACACTCGCGGCGACAGGCCGTAACGCTGCGCTGACTCAGAGCCCCGCTCTGGAGCCGAGCTGGCGTCCATCCTTGAAGGCTTCACTGCTTTGGAGCCTCCACTCTCTCGGGTGCGTTGGCGCAGCCGCGGGAGGACGTGCTGTCAAACGCAGGACTGGCACTGGCTCCTCTGGCTCCGGTGGATTTTTCTCTCGGGGCTGTTTCTGGGAAGAAGCAGAGCCGGGTGGATGGCGAGCATGGAGCTTGCTCCGTGGCTCACCCCATCGCTTTCTCCCCGGTCCTCAAGGGCATCGCAGGCACGGACGTGGCGAAGGAGGCTTCGGACATCATCCTGACGGATGACAACTTCACCAGCATCGTCAAGGCGGTGATGTGGGGCCGCAACGTCTACGACAGCATCTCCAAGTTCCTGCAGTTCCAGCTGACGGTGAACATCGTGGCCGTCATCGTGGCCTTCACAGGCGCCTGCATCACGCAGGTATGGGGCCGCTGGGCTTGGCAGGAGGAGAGGGGAGGCTCCTGCGAAATGGGGAGTGAAGAGGGGGCGGTTTTGGTGGCGTGACGTGTTCTCCCCCCTCTCTCTGCAGGACTCTCCCCTGAAGGCTGTCCAGATGCTGTGGGTGAACCTGATCATGGACACCTTCGCCTCCTTAGCCCTGGCCACGGAGCCCCCGTCTGAGTCCCTGCTGCTGCGCAAGCCATACGGCCGCAACAAGCCGCTCATCTCCCGCACCATGATGAAGAACATCCTGGGGCACGCGGTGTACCAGCTAACTATCATTTTCACGCTGCTTTTTGCAGGTGAGCTGTGAGGCCCCAAGAAACGGCAGGGGGTAAAGGAAAGGGGCAGAGTCCCAGCACTGCCTTCTGAGCCGCCCTTCCTCACCAGTGTTGGGGACCCTTGTTCTCAGCTGTCACTCCGTGACCCTGCGTTGGCCAGGACAAAGCTTATTGAATAATGGATGGGAAGCAGAGGGGTGTTAAGGGAGAGGGTTTACATTGAGGATGTATGTGGGTCAGGACCTTGCTGAGTGCAGAGACAAGTTCAGCCAGGGCAGCAGTTTTCAATATTTTTAAGGAAATGAAGGTTCAGTGGTGCTAGCGTGGGGGACTCCAGCTGGGTCAGGGGATCTTCAGCAAGAGCCTGGGATCCTAATTCTACCTCCACCAGTGCAGAGCGGAAGAAAGAAGCAGGATCTCATCTTCTCCTCTCTTCCCTGCCCTTCCCCATCCCCTCCCCAAAACCCTTTGTCTGCTTAGGGGAGAAGTTTTTTGACATCGACAGTGGCCGAAACGCGCCACTCCACTCGCCACCCACCGAGCACTACACCATCGTCTTCAACACCTTTGTCATGATGCAGTTGTTCAATGAGATCAACGCGCGCAAGATCCACGGGGAGAGGAACGTCTTCGAGTCCATCTACCGCAACCCCATCTTCTGCACAGTGGTGCTGGGGACATTTGCAGCTCAGGTGAAGCTGCGGGAAGAGCGCCAGAATAAAATGGTGGGGCTGGGAGGAGGGGACCATGACACAGGCAGGACCTGTGTCTGCTGCAGTCACTGCCCACAGCTCTGTCCTGTCCCCTTATTCTTCTCTGGCAGCTTCTTGGTGACACAAAACCTGAATATTGGGGTCTAGAGTGTGTTGGGAGATGCCAGGGCTGGCCAGCCAGCGTGCCTCTGGTGTCCTGTAAAGTTCCTAGCCTAGATGTGAGGTCCTTGCTCCTCTCGTGATCCTGGGAGTGGGGGCGGAAAGATGTGTGGCCCTGGGGGACTTTTTTCATCCCGTGGCCATACCATGCAGCCCTTGGAGCTCCCCAGTGTGTGACTTGTTCTCTCCTGTGCTGTAGATCATCATTGTGGAGTTTGGTGGGAAGCCGTTCAGCTGCTCCGGGCTCACCCTGAGCCAGTGGTTCTGGTGTATTTTTATCGGAGTGGGAGAGCTCCTCTGGGGCCAGGTAAGAGCCAGTCTGAAAAACACACCATGTGCCTCCATGCCACGGCGTACTCGCAGCCCAGCCTGCCTCTCCCTTCCCACTGGCTCACTGCCTTGTTCTCCCCAGCATGTATTCAAGGCAGCTTTGGAAGAGGGTGATGCTCCATCCCAGCACCATGCCAGCAGTGAGGAGAGGAGGTTGCTAATCTACTCCTCGTTCCCACCCCGCTTACACTGGGGCATATTCACTGGTGGCATCTCTCGGCTGAGTCCCCG